TGTTGTGGGAACCTCTAGAACAGATTTAGGGATGGGGGGGTAGGGAGAAGATGGGGAACAACCCATTGCGCAATGAGAGACTTACTGCTATGCTGGAATCCGCCCAAATGATTTCAACCTATTAATAACAAGAACGGATGAATACAGTGGTACCTTGGGTTACATACACTTCAGGTTACAGATGCTTCAGGTTACAGACTCCGCTAACCCAGAAATATTACCTCGGGTTAAGAACTTTGCTTCAGGATGAGAACAGAAATCATGCTCCGGCAGCGTGGCGGCCGTGGGAGGCCCCATTAGCTAAAGTGGTACCTCAGGTTAAGAACAGTTTCAGGTTAAGAACGGACCTCCAGAACAAATTAAGTACTTAACCTGAGGTACCACTGTACAGGGGACTGCTAAAGAGAAAACAATATGATCGTTAGCCTGTGAAGAGCTGGTAGACGAATACAGTGGTATCTTGGTTTACAACCATAATCCGTTCCGGAAGTCTGGTTGTAAACCAAAACAGGTTGTAACCCAAGGCGTGCTTTTGCCAATGGGGCCTCCCCCCCCAAATGGTTGTAATCCCCCCCCCAAAGGGTTGTAATGCAAAAAAAGGGACAAGCACTTCCGGGTTTGATGTGGTTGTAATCCAAAATGGTTGTAATCCAAAGCGGTTGCAAACCAAGGTACCAATGTACAGTGGTACCTCGGGTTACATACGCTTCAGGTTACAGACTCCACTAACCCAGAAATAGTACCTCAGTTAAGAACTTTGCTTCAGGATGAGAACAGAAATCGGGCTCCGGCGGTGCGGCAGCAGCGGGAGGCCCCATTAGCTAAAGTGGTGCTTCTGGTTGAGAACAGTTTCAGGATAAGAACGGACCTCCAGAACAAATTAAGTTCTTAACCCAAGGTACCACTCTAATGGTTTTCAGGCCAAAGGTCATGACCTCAAATATTTGCCATCACAACTGAAGAACTATCTCTACAATCATGGTGACTAGACAATTGCTTTTTATTTGAAATGAAAATGCAGGATACTTGAGATTCCATTAAGAGCCAGCAGACCAGAAGCGAATGACATCTTGGTGATGCCTGTGCATGGATAGGGACATTAGGAGACAAAAAGGACAAGCGCTCAAAAACATTGTCTATATTTCTATGGGAAGATGCAAAGCTGCACTCAATGAAATACATACATTAACAAGTCTCTGTTTGGCTAATGTAAATAAACTTACTACAGATTGGCTTGATATTATTGTTGCCTGTCGCTCTGAAATTTGTTTTGTTTTGAAAGGAAAAACAGGGTTTACATTGACAGCTGCCAGAGTGAGCGTATTACAAAATTATGAGGAATTCACACTGATGCTACCATTCAGAAACACAAGCTACCAATATTGCAAATGTGTCCTTTTGAAGGAACTACTGCATATTGATCATATATATCATTCATGTTTATATAAATATATTTAGGTGCTATACAGTTTTCGGCATGCTTCATTACATCCCTGTAAAGAAAGATAGTATTGTTCCCATTTTATAGATGTTGAAACTGAGGCTGAAGGGAGTTTGCCAGAGGTTCCTCCAGCGAGTCCTTATCCAAAGTGGGGAAATTGACATCAAGGCTCCTCCTTCTATCTCAGTGAAACTTAATGGATTATTAGTGCACTGGCTAGAGGTGATATACATATGTGTGTTGCTCGTGGTACTGAGGTTAAGGTAAGAACATTAGGGATCTCACTAGTTTTGTTGGAAATTGCATCACATCACTTTCTTGATTATTGGAAGGAAAGGTGGAAATAAATCTATTTGTTTTGCATATATAATCTGCATATATATGCACACACATATATATTATACATATGAATATAAAAGGGGACTCCTTTTCTATTCAGCAGGTAAAGTTTCAAGTGTTGTCCATACTTATCAATTACAGGCAAAGAGGCACTCAAAACGTCCTGAAAAACTTTCTCACAAGCCATCAAGATTGAGGTTAAAGCACCTTTTTTTGTAGACTTTGTCTAACCTTTGACAGACAGAAGTAAAACAAAGTCAACAACGTGGGCACCTTGGACACCTCCTTTGTACTCTTTGAATCAGTTTGGTTTGCTTTTGAAACATGAAGGGAAATGACAGCATCATGTTAGTGAATAACTGTTTTCTCCATAGATGCAAATCTACAGTTCAGCTGGACATTGAGGTACAATGAAGCAACAGAAATCACCATGCAGACTGCAGCAATCACTGCAAAGTGTGTGTCGTTATGCTGGTGGTTTGCATATGGTCAACAGGTCTATTGGTGCTGGGTAAAAACATGTTCCCTAACCGAATGTCAGCTCTTTATGAATACTTCCTGTCTTGTCCCCAATTGGCTTTTACCATATGAACCAGATACAACATTCCCTCTAGGACAGGGATGCAGAACCTGTGGTCCCCCAGATGTTGCAGGACTACAGCTTCCACATCCTGGACCACTGACCATGCTGGCTGGGGCTGATGGGAGTTGGACTTCAACAATATCTGAAGGTCCCCTATCCCTGCTCTAGTGTCACAGGCTGTCCTGATGTGCACGGACGCTGCAAGATAAACTTGCACTTGTTTCATGCTTTCAGTGAAGAAGGCTACTCTTGTGAACCAAGTACTGGGCCCAATGGATTGAATTTGGAGACTGACTTCCACATAACAGCCTTTGTCCATATGTCCTGAGTCATACCTTGCCTGCTTCCTCCAGCTGCTGCTGTAACTCTGAGCACAGTGGGGGGAAAGTAAAACAACATAAGCTTCACAAGCCTGGGGAAATCTGAGAAATGGGTCAAGCATATAGCAGAGTGATCATCCCCAGCCCGGTACCTTTCAGATGTTTTGGACAATGCCCATCATCCCTGACCATTGGCAGTACTGGCCAACAAAATCTGAGAGGCATGAGGTTGGAGAAGGCTGCCATAAATACTGCAAATGAAGGTGGGTGAATTATTAGATCAGAGGATCCCAGGTAGAGTCCTACATTTTTAGGGCACAAGACACAGGTAGAGAGAGAATTGCACTTCCTATAGACTGTGCAGTCTGCGGTTTAGGAATAACGTGTGGTCTGCTACTGAATCCTAACCAGGATGTTGGAGATTCAGCCCTAGAGGGAGGGTCCAGGCTATGGATGTTTGAGGACACACACAATTAAGCAGGTATTTGGGAAGGAAGTACACATTTACATAGCAATTGATGATAGTAAGAATCAATGACAGATGGACCACCTTTACCAGTACTAGCAGGGCAAAGGTTGGGGAGACAGTTCTGTTATACAGTTTCTGGGTCCATTTTTTGGTCATCAAAACCATCTCCCTCCCATTGAAACTGGAAGGTAGTGGGCTCTAAGGCTGGAACGACCTCTCTACACACATTTTATGGGAAAGAGGGAAGAGGAACTGAGAAGAAGAAGAAGAGTTTGGATTTGATATCCCGCTTTATAACTACCCGAAGGAGTCTCAAAGCGGCTAACATTCTCCTTTCCCTTCCTCCCCCACAACAAACACTCTGTGAGGTGAGTGGGACTGAGAGACTTCAGAGAAGTGTGACTGGCCCAAGGTCACCCAGCAGCTGCAGGTGGAGGAGCGGGGAAGCGAACCCGGTTCCCCAGATTATGAGTCTACCGCTCTTGACCACTACACCACACTGGCTCTGAGAAGCAGTACAGGATGCTCCATTAGGGCAGATGCGCCACTGACCTTAGCCTCAATGCTGCTCTTGTAGGACTCAGCAGGGAGGAGAGTAAGAATGGGGACAAATCTAGAATTGGTTGGTTCTGCTTGCCTTTGGCTCTGGCTTGGTTTGCTTTTGTTTTGCTTATGTATTTTGTGTTTTTATCCCGTATTTTTATGCTGTGAACCACCCTGAGACCTATTATTATTATTTATTGAATTTATACCCGGAGGTCTCAGGGCGGTTCACAGACCTATGGGTGAAGGGTGGTATACAAATTTAATAACCAAGAATAGTAATGTACAAATGGTTTCTCTAAATTATCAGCACTATTTGTTGACAGAGAAATGCTGGGGTGTGTGTGGTCAAACCACTAAATTTATCCAGGGGTTTTTAAAAATTCTGTAATATTTTCTCAGAGGGTAGCAGTAGAGCTTTTTTCTTTTCTTTTTGCATAGATTGTTGATGTTGTTTCTACGGCTACTGTGTTGGCGGCCTACCCACCAAGTTGCCCCATCCACAATACCCCAGACTTATTGTCGTTCCAGAGCATTATAGGGGTGGGAAGTGGCAGCTGCCACACAAACAAATTGTAAAGAATATTCAGAGAACATTTGGCAAAGTAAGTTTTATTTTCTAGGGAGCCAGATCAGAAATTATCCTCAGAAAAATGTTTTCTGAGAAATCTTGGCCCACTTCTGGTATGTGTGTATTTTCTTCTTGAGCTGCTTCTGTGTGATTGCTACAAGTACAAATACACCTGTGTCCGCAGTGCTATATTTCTAGAAAAGGAGGTGCTGGAACTCACCATTAACACCTCCCTAGTTCTCTTAGAATGGCAATGATGCCCAGCTGAGAGGTGCCAGAGTTTTGGCTGAAAAACCCCCTGCTCTTCTCTCTCTCTCTCTCTCTCTCTCTCTCTCTCTCTCTCTCTCTCTGTGTGTGTGTGTGTGTGTGTGTATGTGTGTGTGTGTGTGTGTGGACAGCAACCATAGAACAAAACTGGCCATAGCAATTCCAACATCCTGAAAGAACAGAAATGTGGTGAAGTGTAATCAGATGACCATGGAAAAGAAAACCTTTATTTTATACCGCCGATTAAGGCTGGCTTCACACTTGGAATTCTTGTGGGATGAACCCTATCAACCTGACTGATTCTTGCCCTGAACCCTTCCTTTAAATATTTCCCCTCAGACCAGAGCTCCAAGCAGTTGAGTCTAGCAATCATTTTAGGGCAGGGCCGCAAAACCTTTGGTCCTCCAATCAGTGCTGGACTCCAACTCCCATCAGTGCCCAACCAAGGATGGGCCAATGATCAGGGATGATGGGAGTTGTAGTTTAGCAACCTCTGGAGAGCCAGAGGTGCTCGCAGCCCATTTTAGGGGCATTGTGGGAAATGAAAATGGCAGCTTGACCCAGCTACTTGGTGCTGTTTGGTGTGCACAGAATAAGCCCAGCTGGGCCCGATAAGGGAGGAAAGGGGCCACCAGATACACTCGATTCAAGCAGGAACTGGCAGGTGCCACAGACCCATAAGCAAGTTCACAAGCAGTAGGATGGTTTAGTGGTAAGTTTCCAACCTCAGAGAAATTCATTTTTGAGATACTGAATAGCCCAATGAAGCATCTAGTCTCCTGTTCCTGGGGATGACTGCAGTCACTGTTGGACAGAAAAAAGTCCCTTGTTTCCTTCTCAGTTTGCCTCCCAGTTTGCAAGCTCACATTGTCCAAAACTGAAGGTTCACCAGCTGCTGAGAATCCAAGAGGTGGTATTTATTATCTTCCGTGTGATACGGAGACCTCAGGACAGGCAGAGGGTCTGGGGAGGAGAGAATGTAATCAATGCTAAATTTAATTTCGGAGTCAGATTTTCCTATGGAGGAGCTGTTTAGACTCTCTCGGCTGGCGGCGGCGTTTGGAAAAAGCTCGCAAGTCTCCAAAGCTTTGGGCTGGGATTGCACTCTCTGACCGGGACAGGAGTTGATTCCGGGGAATCCGGAATCCACCGGGGACAGAGCTTGCAAGCAGTCGCTCCCGCCATTTGGCCGTTTGTCTCTGGGTTCCCTTTTGACGTTCTTCCTCCTCCTCCTCCTCCTGTAGTTCCCGTTTTCAAACAGGTCTAACATAGATTCACATCCCGATGCAAAGCTCCAGTAATTCCCCTTCCCTTTGTCATTGCCTTCTGTCCGGGGAACCTGCAATTCATTGTTTTTAAAATAATAATAAAAAAGGAGAGAGAAAAAGCATCCATTCTGTCAGTGACTGCCTTTAAGAGAAATATAAAACCATCTGTCAAGGCTGTCTGGAAGCTGCAACCTTTCCCTCATCTCAGACCTTTATCCCCTAATCCAAGAGTGGAAGAGAGTGGGGGACTGCACTCTGCACATGCACAGGAACTCTCTCAGTTTTCTTATTGCTATTCATTCCAAAGGTCTAAGGTTGATGCACAGCATTCTGAACAGATTGCGGAGCTGAAGCCTGGGCGAAAGCAAAACCCGAATTCGGCATTTGTGTGCGTGTGTGCTACAAACACAGCCGCTTCAACATCTGTGTCCGTTTAAATGCAAGTCTCGTATAAACATATATGACAAACTGTTGAAGACCAGGCTCTCTAATTATAGAAGTTGTAGGCAAATAGCCCCTTTCATTTGCTATGTACTAGCATACATCAGAAGAAAACAATATCTGCATTTTCTATCCTTCCATTCAGAAGCAGCTAAGAGGGTGAAAGGATCTCCATTTTCAATGATCTCCATTTACTTAGAGCTGAGCTTCTCTTTCTCCCTACCAACCTTGGACAGTGGCTTTCAAACTGTGTTCCACAGAGCTTTGTGGTTCCTCCAAAGCTTATCAGGAGTTATGTGAGGAAAATATCCATCATGGTGTATAAGCTTTCCGGAAAGGCGGCTTGCCCTCTATTAATGATCTTGTTGGTGCTGACCTTTAAAGCCCTAAGCAGCCTCGGTCCTATATACCTGAAGGAGCATCTCCACCTCCATCGTTCAGCCCGGACACTGAGGTCCAGCACCGAGGGCCTTCTGGCGGTTCCCTCACTGCAAGTAGTGAGGTTACAGGGAACCAGACAGAGGGCCTTCTCGGTAGTGGCGCCCACCCTGTGGAACGCCCTCCCATCAGATGTCAAGGAAATAAGCAATTATCCTATTTTTAAAAGACATCTGAAGGCAGCCCTGTTTAGGGAAGTTTTTAATATTTAATGCTGTATTGTTTTTAACACTCAATTGGGAGCCGCCCAGAGTGGCAGGGGAAACTCAGCCAGATGGGCGGGGTATAAATAATAAATTATTATTATTATCTTCCCTTTTCAGCCAGCAGGCTCAATGGTGAGGAATGACAAGAGCTGTAGTTCAAAATATCTGGAGAGTATCTGGTCATAAACACATTAAGGTAAAGGTAAAGGTACCCCTGCCCGTACGGGCCAGTCGTGTCCGACTCTAGGGTTGTGCGCCCATCTCACTTAAGAGGCCGGGGGCCAGCGCTGTCCGGAGACACTTCCGGGTCACGTGGCCAGCGTGATGAAGCTGCTCTGGCGAGCCAGCACCAGCACAGCACACGGAAACGCCATTTACCTTCCCGCTATAAAGCGGTACCTATTTATCTACTTGCACTTAGGGGTGCTTTCGAACTGCTAGGTGGGCAGGAGCTGGGACCGAAAGACGGGAGCTCACCCCGCCACGGGGATTCGAACCGCCGACCATACGATCGGCAACTCCTAGGCGCTGAGGTTTTACCCACAGTGCCACCCGCATCCCTAATACACATTAGGGAGCACAGATATTGGAGATATTCTCTGTGTGTTTGTGTGCAATGCCTTTGCTATATCATCCCAAGGGTCTGCTCTGCCCTAAGATCCTCCCCTTCTGAATTCTGGATCAGTGCAGATATTTTTTTTAAAAAATTATTAATTCTGGTTATGCAGCTTGTTGCAGCTGATTTGCATCTTTCTTCCGTCTATGTTACGAACCTGCATTGAGAACACATTGTTATAAAAGGAGGAATGGACAAATCTGTCAATTTTGGTTCTCCAAGGTTCTCATTTTTCCAATCTTAAATTCAGTTTTCCCTATTTCCACGGGTATTTGTTGCTGCTGATCCTCCTGAAAATTCCTCAGCAACTTAATGCAGATTCTCCTAATAAATACATTCGGTTTTGACTAATATACACATCTTTGCAAGTAACTCTCCCCTAATGTAATGCAATTCTACATGTTACATTCATTTATATGCACACTTTGCATTAGTATACACATTTTTGTACAAATAACGTGGCTGAAGAACTGCAGCCCAAAATATGGAGAAGTGTGAATTTCAAAGGATGGCTGTGTTTTAGGTTGCATTTTGGTGCAAATTAGGTATGTTTCTCTTAAATGTGAACCGAATCAATTTTCTCCCACATCTCTAGATAGCAGCAATCTCCATATGATTGTAGGAACAGTTATATTTAGATATTTTTCCCCCTTGCAAGACCTCACGAGGACATCAGTAAAATGCCACGCAAAAAGAACCACACCATTGCATGAAGTTTCTTTTTCGTGTTTGCAATGATGCTAGATCACTATTGCCTGCACTGGATGGCAGCATCTCCTCAAGGCACAAATCTTGCCCATCACTTGCTACCCGATCCTTTTCACTGGTGATACAACTGACTAAACCTGGGACCTTCTGCATTCAAAGTATGTGCTCCACCATTGAGCTAAGGTCCCACTATGTAACATTTGCCTGCTCTCCAGATGGCCTTCATGTTCCTGGGTTGCACAGCCATTTGGCATCTCACTCAGCACACCTTCCACCTGCACATGAGCTGATAAATGTACACTAGCACTCCTATGCATTATCATCGGAGAGCAGTGGCTGCAACTGAGGACATGCTGAAATCATGAGTTAAATGTGTAAACCGCTTAGAGGCTACAGATGATTTAGCGGGTATAGAAATCCTGTTAAATATGGGGTCTGCAACAAAATGTTGCAGCGTGGAAGGAATCTTGTACAGGAAACTCCATTCCATTCCCCTTGCCACTTGGCTTTCAATCATCGAACCCAAGAGTTAGCCAGCATTCCATGTCCACTGAGCATGTTCAGTCCTCACTCGGTTGTTGGGGGTTCCAGCTTAAGTTTCCCCCTCCAAATACCCTCTGTGTGTGGGGTGGTGGTGGTGGCATTTTAGCTCCATAAGCAACAGCCCATGAATGTTTCTCCACTGCGGGCATTGCCCCATCAACCTCTATCTATTCTCAGTCAGCTATCACCAGTCTGCCTTTCTGCTTACAAGTCCAGGAATTGACACTGCTTGTCCACTTCCTCTTCCTCATAGTCTTTGTTGCCCTTTGCAGAACCCAGCAGGGAGGAGGATGGGGCAAACTGAGAATTCATTGGCTCTTCCTGCCATTGGCTCTGGCGCCACCTACTGTTGGGCTCCCTGCCTTCCACCCAACCAGTCACCATAGTTGCCAACCTGGACTTCAGAAATAGAGGGGATATTTTTGCCCATGCAGCTGCACCTCGAGAATGCTTGGATGATGGCTCTATAGTAGAGAGCACACCTTGCATATGGAAGATTCCCAGTCAGATCTTTGACATCTGCTGTCAAAAGGACCAGCTAAGCCTAAACCCCCTGTCTGTGACCCCGGAGAGCTGCTCTCATCTAGAGAAGACAATTCAGGCCTCGATGGACAAACAGCCTCACCCATCATAATAGAGCAGCCTTTCTCAACCTGTGGGTCCCCAGATGTTATTGGACTACAACTCCCATCATCCCTAGCTAGCAAGGCCAGAGCTCAGGGATGAGGGGAGTTGTAGTCCAACAACATCTTGGGACCCACAGGTTGAGAACCGCTGTAATAGAGCTTTCTTTGTTTCCTATAGTGCTATGCTGAAAACCTATTCCTGTCCTCGTTTCCCTGTCCTTTGCTGGTCATTCTCCATAAATAAATTGCTTTTTAAAAAATTATCCAAAAGGAGAGCACATTTTGGTGAAACTTCCCTGGGTCAGATGTGCATGTGCTTCTTCTGCTTTCAAGATGACCCAGGGCGTTTCTGAGTTTCATTTCCTTTGTTCTACAAATCGCCTGCAAACTACAGGTCTCCTGGGTGCCCATGCTTCAATGAAAGTTCGAAGGAAGACGTCAGATCAGGAAGCACAGGCAGCCAAGGAGGTTGCAAAGAGTTGGAGTTATGTTTCTTGGAAAGAACACACACACCACCCTCAGCCACCTCACAATGCCAAAGGAAGCTCAAAACTCCACACGCACCAAAACCCTAAAGCATGGGTAGGCAAACTAAGGCCCGGGGCCCGGATCCGGCCCAATCGCCTTCTAAATCTGGCTGGCGGACAGTCCAGGGATCAATGTGTTTTTACATGAGTAGAATGTGTCCTTTTATTTAAAATGCATCTCTGGGTTATTTGTGGGGCACAGAAATTCGTTCATTTCCCCCCCAAAAAAATATAATCCGCCCTCCCCCCCCCAAGGTCTGAGGGACAGTGAACCAGCCCCCTGTTGAAAAAGTTTGCTGACCCCTTTCCTAAAGCATCTCTCAAGGGTCCAGAGATGGAGACATGCAAATGGAGTGTAAACCAAGCCTTATGAGGAGTGGTTGAGGGAGTTGGGCATGTTCAACCTGGAGAAGAGAAGAGAGAGGAATATGATAGCCGTCTTCAGATACCTGAAGGGCTGTCACATAGAAGGTGGAACAAGCTTGTTTTCTAATCGCTCAAGAAGGTAGAACCCAAACAAATGAATTCCCATTGCAAGTAAGGAGATTTTGGCCAAACATTAGGGAGAACTTCCTGATGGCAAGGGCTATTTGATAGTGGAATGGACTTCCTCAGAAGCTGGTAGACTTTTTTTTTTCATTTTTCAGCAGAGGTTGGATAACCATCTGTCAGATGTACTTTAACTGTAATTTGTACATTGGACTAGATGGCCCTTGGGTCGAACTCTACAATCCTTTGAATCTGTGATTATAATAACATAAGGAAATTTCTGCTGAATCAGGCTAATGGCTCTAGTCCTGTTCTAGTATACCTGAAGGAGCGTCTCCACCCTCATCATTCTGTCCGGACACTGAGATCCAGCTCCGAGGGTCTTCTGGCGGTTCCCTCACTGCAAGAAGTGAGGTTAAAGGGAACCAGGCAGAGGGCCTTCTCGGTAGTGGCACCCGCCCTGTGGAACGCCCTCCCACCAGATGTCAAGGAAATAAATAACTATCTGACTTTTAGAAGACATCTGAAGGCAGCCCTGTTTAGGGAAGTTTTTATGTTTCATGTTTTATCGTGTTTTTAATACTCTGTTGGGAGTTGCCCAGAGTGGCTGGGGAAACCCAGCCAGATGGGCAGGGTTATAAATAATAAATTATTATTATTATTCTCACAGTGGCCCTTTTAAAAGTGTTATGGATGGAGGGATTGTTGGGTTGTCTTTATTCTTATTTTTATTGTGTATTTTGTGTTGTTTATTTTGTACAGTCATACCTCGGGTTACAGGCGCTTCAGGTTGTGTGTTTTCGGGTTGCGCACCACGCTGAACCCGAAAGTACCAGAATGGGTTACTTCCAGGTTTCGGCGCTCACGCATGCATGGAAACACTAAATTGCACTGTGCGCATGCACAGAAATGCCAAATCGCAACCAGTGTGTGTGCAGAGGTGCCACTGTGGGTTGTGAATGCTGCAGGTTGCGAACGTGCCTCCCACACGGATCATGTTCGCAACCTGAGGTTTCACTGTTAATTTATGTTGTGAACTGCCCTGAGATCTATGAGTATAGGGCAGTATACAAATTTAATATAATGACGACAGTGGCGATTTGTGCATGGGAAGCCTGAAAGCAGGATGTGAGCACAACAGAGCTCTTCCAGTTTGTGATTCGCAGCAACTGGCACTGAGAGGCTTACTGAAAGCCTCCTTTCACAGGGGAGAATTCAAGAGACAGTTTTCAGCACAGCGCTGGTTCCCTATGGCCACATCTGAGCTGATTCTACAGCCAGATGTGCACAGCATCCTCTTGCAAATAGGGCTCCCAAACAAGCAGCTTGCAGAACCCAAGTCTCCCTTTCCAGGTTGTGGACTGCTGCTGCGGTTTGTTGGTCCTACCTTGACAAAGCAGCTGTTGAGGGAGAGGTTGTGGCGGATGGAGTTCTGCCAGGCTCGCTGGTTTGTCCTGTAGTAAGGGAATTTCTTCATGATGAAGTCGTAAATGCCAGAAAGGGTCACTTTGTTGGAGGGGCTCTGCTGAATGGCCATTGCAATTAAAGCGATGTAGCTGCAACATGAAACAAAAGAAAATGAATCGCAATGCCGTCCTGTATAGAAAGGTGCTGATGCTACGGGCATAGAGATTCTGGAAACAACATCGCATAAGATTCAATCCTGCTCCAAGGCTGTGATCCTAAACAAACACATTCAGGAATAAGCCCCACTGAATATGGCAAGGACTTTGTTCCAAATAGACATGCATAGGATTGTTAGTTACAGTGACTTCCCATTGAAGTCAACGGCACTTCAATTAGTGCCTTTGTTTTCTGTAGGGTTCAGTAGGACTACAGCTTTAGCCTTAGGATCCAACCCTAGATATCTTTCATGCATAATGCTGTTCTAAGTTCTCAAATCATTGCTGCAGTAATGTATGATGATGTTGGTGGTGATGATGACCCGTTTTATTTATTTATTTCTCATCTTTCCTTCAGGGAACCCAGGTGAACATTCGTAATTCTCTGCCCCACCACTTTTCGCAGCGCAACAACCCTATGAGGTAGGATAGGATCAGAGACAGAGAGGCAGAGTGTGTTTCTGGCCCAAGGTCACCTAGTGACCTCTACGACTTAGTGGGGATTTGAATCAGCCTTGGTCCAGCGCTCAAATTGCTATACCACACTGTCTCCCATATTACCAGTGGAGACTGAGAGATAGAAGCCTGCCTGAGGTCAGTGTGGTAACTGAACTGGGAGCTTTCCAGCTCTTAACATTTGCGCTGCACAGCTCAGCTCCGTCCATTGGACAGCGCTGCTCTTGAGATGCCCACTTTCTTTGGATAGTCTCTTGAGAGAGTTGTTTGAAGCACTGGGCTCCATGAGTGGGGTCAGTGGGTATTAGGTTGTATCCAACACTAGCCCTACATAGAGTAGACCCATTGAAGTTAACTGCCTTTTGTCATAAGGTCCCAGGGTGAGTTGCAACAAGAAGAGGGTAAGTTGGAAAAACTTCCAAGTCATCGACAAACAAAGTCCGCATGCTGGAATTTGAGTCCAAATCTCACGTTAGCTCTCAAATCAAGCCACATCCTCCCACTGAGAACACCTGGGCGTTTATGACTCAGGAAAGTTGATTGCGGAAAGCACAAAGCGTTTCTTTAAAAAGGGATCCTGAAAGTAGGATTTGCGCCTAGTAGAGATGTCCTGGATTCTCCTTCAGTCCTCGTCTACAGCAATGACTGGCCCATTATTGCATGAGAAGTAGCAGGACTGCTGCTGACTGCCCATTTTAAGCATAAGGAAAATACTTAAGGATTCTTCCAGTTGCACAGTGAGAAATGCAATCTCTCTGTTTTGGCAACTGTTTTTCCATTCCACTCAAGTGAAAGAGCTTTGATTTAAAACACACAAACACACACCACCACCAAAAAGCATGCCCAGGCACGTTTTGCAACTTTTTTTGAAAAACCAACAACAACAGAAGTTTCTCAGCACTGAAATTCCTGTGAATTGTGGCAGGCGGTTGCGTTTCATATCAAAGGATCACTTTGCAATTCAGTTCTGTCGAGGTTGACTTAGATGTGGCATGTGCCACTGAGTTTAGGGGGATCAGGTGACAATTCTACACACCTTTACCTGGGAGTAAGCCCCATAGAACTTAATGGGGTTTGCCTATGAGTAGACATGCATTGGATGCCCAGTTATTCCCATACAACTGTGCATAGTGGAACAGGAAGTATTTCTCTTTGTGATCTTTGGGAAGTGCAACTTAATGTAAATAGTGTATTAATCAACTCATGCTTTGGTTGATTAATCTTTAGCAGTGGATCTGAGTGTTAAGGACATACTCTATTTTTTAAGGTGTGGTGTTAATGCAAGAGAGAATAAAGAAGAAATGGTTAAAGACAATCTTCTCTTTTAATAATGAGTCGTAAGTTTTTGCTCAGTAACCATAAGCTTCCTTCAATCTCTCAAAAATGAACCTAGATATTTTTTTGTAATATGCACATTTGATTAGCTACTTAGTAAGTCAAAACCCAGCCGTTTTGAAAGATTTAGAAGTGACTAATCAGACTTGCTTAAGAGGCTGAGATCCTGAGTATCTCACTTATATCCTTGCCTAAAGTGGTTAATTTATCACCTTATGCATTTAAGACATATTCATTAGATTGTTGCAGAGAATGGGGAGGGGGGGTCAGCTATTGAGCAGAGGACAGCAATCCCTATCAGTTACATCAATTCTAAAACTAAAATAAGGCTACATTTGGGGGGGGGATACTTATGACACTGTATACATTTTATCCGCCAAACAACCCTCTCCAGTAGGCAAGTCTGATCAGACTGGGGCCACCCAAGCAAACCTTTTTTTGCCACTTCAGTCTGGAGCCCCCCTGGTTGAAATCGCAAACTCAAACTGGCTCCTATTTTTAAAATAATGCGAGCCGTTGAAATGCATAAAAACGAGTCATTAAAAGGATCAAAAAATCATTGCAACCCCATATCCATTTTATTTTGCTTTTCTTTGCCCACACCTGGAAGATGCTTACGGATGAGTGTTGCAAAGAATCACAGAGGAATTCCCCAGCAACTGACAATATGGAGAGAGAGAGAAAGAGAGTTGGAAAAGTTAAGCTTACCTGTATGCTGGTCTGGTGAACCTTTTCTCTTCATCAGAGCTGCAGGTTGGGTAATCATCCCCATCGTAATTAAAGCAATTATAGGGGTACTGGGTGTTATCAAACATATTCCTTGTCCTCTTTTGGCTTCTGTGAAGTAGGAGAGAAAGAGAGAGGTGGAAGAATGATGCTTCTCTGTTTCTTCTCTCCTCCCTCTTTTCCTTTGCTTCCACCCTCCCTCCTCTTTCTCTCCCCCCCCTTTTAATCCACACAGTGGCAATTTTTGTTGTTGCCGCCTTGGAGTCCCCAAACAACCCTTTCTGAATAACCTCGGTGGGCTCGTTCTCCCTTCCCCCTGCTCTCGCTGGAGGAAAACGAAAAAGGCAGCGACTAACCGATTCAAGTGTGGTAAAGGTCTCTCCTGAACCTTTGAACTTGGGTGGATGCAACAGCCAGTAGCTATGCAATCCTGGCTTCCTGGGTGGTCCCCCACTGGCAAGATGGGCACCAGCCTCCCGCTTGCCAACGACATACACAATGTGGCCAAATTAAATAGCCCAACTGGCTTCATAACTCTTTCTCGTAAACAAGGCTCCAGAGTTCCTTCTCTTCCTTGGTGTTTAAGACAAATAAAGGAGACATAGGACAGTCCCAGTCACTCCGGGTTGTTGTGCTTTTTCTTTTCCAAAATCCATCCCTCATTGAGTCATAAATAAAACCCCCTTGAGAGGACATGGCAAACTGCCCATCCTGGTGTTTTGCTTTGTTTTGTTTTTTAAATCGACCCCCCCCCCCACAACGGGCGTAAATTCTGTTTCCACAACTGGGGAGGGGGGTGGGAATACACACAAATGTGTGTGTCTCTGTGTGTGTCAAAGAGGACAGAACAGAAGGACTGGGGGGGGGGAGGACTACTGTCAAGTAGGAAAGTAAAAGGAAAATAGCTGTAGGCGGGATAGCTGCCTGTGTGGGCTTTGATCTGTAGGATGAATTAGACTAATAACTCTCTGTGTTGGCATCCAATCCTGTAACAATTTGATAGTCTCTCTCTCCCTCTCTCTCTCTCTCTCTCTCTCCCCTTTACCCCTCCTTCTCTTGCAATGCTTTGGAGTGGTTTCCAACATGTGTTGTAAAACTAAAGGCAAATCATTCAACGGTTTCATTATGGGAAAGGAGGGGGTTCCCTGAAAGGTGTGCACGCTACATGATAATTAAATTATTTGAAGACAGCCACTTCCCCCAGGAAGCCAGTTACTCTGAGGAGAAGAGGAGCCAGTGCAAATCGGTGGCTTGCTTTGGAAGAGGGTTGGCTGGGTTGGAAAACGGTGGGAAAGGTGGGAGCAAAGGAAGATGGATCACTGGTCCACCCAATGAAATATTCTCTACATCAGGGTAGGGAATCTCAGGTCCAGGGGTCAAATGTGGCCCTTGGTGCTTTCCCAACCAGCCCTTAGGATGTTTCCCTGGCCAAGAATGGCATTGCAGTTGTACAACTTGGAGGTTATCAGAACATGGATAGCTCCGTTGGTTAGTGTGTGGCACTGATAACGCCAAGGTTGCAAGTTATGTCCCTATATGGAACAGCTGCATATTCCTGCATTTCACGGGGTTGGACTAGATCAGTGATGGCCAAACTTGGCCCTCCAGCTGTTTGGGGACTACAATTCCCATCATCCCTGACCACTGGTCCTGTTAGCTAGGGATGATGGGAGTTGTAGTCCCAAAACAGCTGGAGGGCCAAGTTTGGCCATCACTGGACTAGATGATCCTCTGGGTCCCTCCCAATGCTACGATTCTACGATTTTATGGACAACTATGGTCAGACTATCCTGGTGGAATAGAAATGTTTTCAGCAGACATTTCAAGGTTGAAATAGAAAGTACCTGCTTCATTTCTACGTGTGCACATTTGTGCAAGCAGTTTCCCCTAATATAATGGATTTCTGAATATCATCTTCACTCACATCTTCATTTTTATGCACGCTTTCTCCTAATAAACTCATTTTTGTAAAGACTGTTTCGTTGGCGACCTGCATTGCAAAATTCAGATGAGTGCAAATTTCAAAGGCTAGCTATGCTTCAGTTTACATGGTAGTTTACGATGTGCAAATTTGGTAGATTTGGCTTTAAATGAGACCTGAATTGAATTTAACCTCAATTCCTAATTTCCCCAAACCCCACCCAACCCTCCCACTATATATAAGGGTCTGGTGACTTCTGTTTCAGTGTATCTGAAGAAGTGTGCATGCACACAAAAGCTTATACCCAGAACAAACTTAGTTGGTCTCTAAGGTGCTACTGAACAATTTTTTAATTTTTAATTTATTTTGACTGCGTCAGACCAACATGGCTACCTACCTGAATCTAGAATCCTAGTACTGAGTTAATCTTAGCTTTAGCTTACAGTGATGTGTGTGAACCAAGCTTCTCTCTGTGTGTAAATCGGGGCTAAACAGTGCCATCCAGGTGTTGATGGACTGCAACTGTCACCATCCCTGACCATTGGCTTTGCTGGCTGGGAATGATGGGAGTTGATGGGAGTTGACAAGTGTTGGTGCTGACCTTTAAAGCCCTAAATGGCCTTGGCCCAGTATACCTGAAGGAGCGCCTCCACCTCCATCGTTCTGCCTGGACACTGAGGTCCAGCGCAGAGGGCCTTCTGGTGGTTCCCTCACTGCGAGAAGCCAAGTTACAGGGAACCAGGCAGAGGGCCTTCTCAGTAGTGGCGCCCGCCCTGTGGAACGCCCTCCCACCAGATGTCAAAGAGAAAAATAACTACCAAACTTTTAGAAGACATCTAAAGGCAGCCCTCTTTAGGGAAGCTTTCAATGTTTAATAGGTTATTGTATTTTAGTGTTTTGTTGGAAGCCACCCAGAGTGTCTGGGGAGACCCAGCCAGATGGGCAGGGTATAAATAAATTATTATTATTATTATTATTATTATTATTATTATTATTATTATTATCATTATCCAACAATGGGTGGTTAAAGATGGTGAGAAATTTGAATCCGTTTGCATTTAAAGGCAAATCTACTGGTTACACACTTTTATGAGTGGAAGCTCAGTGATTGTCCAAAATTCGCACTTCTCCAAATTTTGCGATGCAGTTCTCCAGCCAAGCCAAATGTCTATGTTATGGTGAAAAGTGTCTATAAAAATGCATCTATATTATGAAGGAAATAAAGAAGCAAACACCAAAGCATGATATTAAAGGAGAATGTTTTTGGGGAAAATATGCTTATTAGACAAAATGCATAGGGAAGATGGGTTGATCAGAAGCAATTTGCACAAAAATCCTGATGAATTCTCACGAGGACTTTTTTAAAGAAAAGAAAAAGGAAGAAAAATCACGAAACTGAATGGAAATGTTGGGAACTGAACTTTAGGCTGGAAAAATGAGAAACGGGGAGAAACTGAAGCAGACAGATTCTCTCATCCCTGGTTTCAGATTGCCCTATATTGTGTCCACAGAGGCACAGCAAAGAGTGCAGGAATTTGTGGCACATCTTATGCCTTGAGCATCTCTGCACCAAGCATAGAAAGCCGAGTTCCCATTGCTTCCATTTCAGAAGTTATGGGGTGGAGTGCAGAACCTTTTGTCACCAAAACAGCACCATCCACGTGCAAGATGAAGGTATCATCAGGCTCAAGAGAACCTCAAGGCTTTCAGATGTGCTAAAAATCTTTGAAACTAGAACCTTAAGGAGTGTGTGCTTAGAGGGGAAGAGACTCAAAAAGAGCCAAATGGGAACTGAGCATGCTCAGCAGCCGCAGAATGCTAATTGACTATTGGGGAAGGGAAGGGAACAGTGCCGGATTTAAGTACAGTGGTACCTCGGGTTAAGAACTTAATTCATTCTGGAAGTCCGTTCTTAACCTGAAACTGTTCTTAACCTGAAGCACCACTTTAGCTAATGGGGCCTCCCACGGCCGCCGCACCACCAGAGCACGATTTCTATTCTTATCCTGAAGCAAAGTTCTTAACCCGAGGTACTATTTCTGGGTTAGCGGAGTCTGTAACCTGAAGCATATGTAACCCGAGGTACCACTGTATAAGCTAAACAAGCTATATCTTAGGGCCCCACTCTCTTGGGCCCCCCCAAAAAATTAAAGGAAAAAAACCTGGATGTACATTTCCAAAATATAAGATAAAAAACATATAGAATAAAACCTACATACAGCAACAGTGTTTTGTGTTGTGTAGGCTCCTGTTTGTTATGTGCAAATGGCTTTAGATACCTATTAGGTCCATAAATTACCATACCATACATATATTCAACACACAAAAAAGTGACAATTTGTTGTTGACAAAAGGACAGCTGGACATATAAGGGGCCCCATTTCCTTCAGTAGCTTAGGGCCTCATCAAACCTAAATCTGGCCCTGGAAGGAAAGGGAGAAGTCGGTGTGGGAGGATGGAATGGAATATTTTAGAGGAGAGCGTGGCTGGCTGCAACCAACAAAGTAGAAAACTGTCTTATACTGAGTCAGGCCATCTTTTCATGTAGCTCAACATTGTTTATGCTAACTAGAAGTGACTCTTGGGGATTCCTGGTGGGGAGCCTCTCCTAGTCATGCCTGGAGGTGCTGGGGATACAATCTTGGACCTTTTGAGTGTGCAACCAGTGAGCCACAGGTCTCCCACTGAACAAGGGTGCTCCATAATGCCACATTTTGCCCCACATCCCTTATGTATGAACTAACCGCAAATCCAACACTGAGCCTGCATAATAAATAATAATAATAAATTTTATTTATACCATACCCCGCCCTCCCCAGCCAGAGCCGGGCTCAGGGCGGCTAATACCAGTAAAATTACAGTAAAAACATAATGGGGGGGGGACCAATTTAAAATACAGGTTAAAATGCAATTTAAAATGAAGCCTCATTTTAAAAGTAGCCCATAGATCAAAACCAGAAGGGGAGGGAAACATAAGGGTCAGACTGAGTCCAAACCAAAGGCCAGGCAGAACAGCTCTGTCTTGCAGGCCCTGCGGAAAGATGTCAAGTCCCGTAGGGCCCTAGTCTCTTGTGACAGAGCGTTCCACCAAGTCGGGGCCAGTACTGAAATGGCCCTGGCCCTAGTTGAAACCAATCTAACCACCTTGTTACTTGGGACCCCCAAGTTGTTGTCATTTGTGGACCTTAAGGTCCTCCGCGGGGCACACCAAGAGAGGCGGTCCCATAGGTACTTGGGTCCTGGGCCACATAGGGCTTTAAAGGTCAAAACCAGCACCTTAAACCTGACCCTGTACTCCACCGGGACCCAGTGCAGCTGGTAAGGCACTGGATGAATGTCATCCCACGACAAGGACCCTGTAAGGAGTCTCACCGCAGCATTCTGCACCCGCTGGAGTTTCTGGGTCAGCTTCAAGGGCAGCCCCGCGTAGAGCGAGTTACAATAATCAAGCCTGAATTTTTTCCTAAAATGAAATGGGATATGAATGTAAAACCTTCTCACACAACCTACCTGTAGGAGTTTCAGGGAGCTGAAAGCATTTCGGTAATATTAGCAACATTTCTGTTTTGCGAGTTGCTCTAACGTGCTAAATTTAACTTGCCCTGTTTTGTCTGCCTTGCATTGT